TACAAATGCGCTTTACACAATTGATGTGTGTATGGATTGGGATAACAGTTGTATGAGCCCCTAATAAAATGTTAAAAAAGAAAAAAAAAAGAAGTCCTTCTAGACAAGTTGGAATCCATGGTGCTAAAATTTATTTCCAAACTTGGATTTCAAAATTACCTTCAATATTTTCTTACTATTAGTTATGCTAAAGGCACGTTCTGCTTTCCAATGAACGACCCCAGTGCACCTTCACTACCCACTCGGATTCGTTCTGGGACTTGAAGGCGCAAGCCAGAGCCTTCTCACAAATGAGGATGGACTTGGAGCGTATGCAGCAAATCAGTCTACCCTAAGCCGAGACGACGCGGCCTGCACGCCACAGTAGAGCCAGATCTCCTCTGGTCATTAGGGCCCTTCCTCGGTGATTCAGCTGTCAAAATAAGACTGCTGATATTATCTGTTGGCATGGGCTTTTCATTTTAATTATGTGCAGTCCATGCTTCAGGGTCACTAGGAAACACACCTGTGCTTTGCTTTAAAAAATAAAATGAAACCTTAAAGTCCATAAAACCATAGTAGCCCTTTATGACCAAAGTAAACATATATGTGTGTGTGTGTGTGTGTGTGTGTGTGTGTGTGTGTGTGTGTTTAAATATGTTCTGATTCTCTGTTATGGTTCTTTGGTATAAATTTTACCATAGAACTGGTAACTTCATGAACAATTTTATTGAGCAGATACATAAAATCTTCTGTTTCATTAAAAAATTAAAAGTTTTTAATTGCATAGTTTAGCCACATCAGCTTTTTGTTTTTCAAGGACATTTACCATATGCTGTCATTATGATTCATCCTGGGTTTTTCCCCCCACACACAAAGTCATGTAAAAGTGCTTTCCCTTCATGTAATTGTCATGAAGTAAGAATAATTTATAAAGCACACTGACAATTACTGACAATCACTAAAAAACTGTTTGAAAGCCATAAGGCTGTGTTCTTGCTGAGCACATATAGAACAGGTGTTCCCACTCCCTGTGTCCTTTGTATACACATTCATTCTGTATTCAAATCACAGAGGCAAGAGGCCAGCTCGGGTCTGTTACCTCACTGCTAATTTCCCTAGCAAATAAACCGGCAGCTGCTGGTCCATGAACCAAGTTAGCATCAAGAACAGGGCGCTGGATGCATGGGACAGGATGCGTTCATGGAGCCCCTCAGCAGCACACTTGGGGTCTTCCGATGCAAAATATGCCTCCTGCTCTTAGGTAAGGCACTACCTGCGTTGTGTTGTACCTCCTTGGTAAACGTTTGCTGTAGGCTGTGGATTGGCTCAGGGATCTAAGAGTTGCTTAGAGCCTCTTAAACAATAGCTCACTGTGTTCCAGAGAAGAAGCAGAAGCTCTTAGTCGAATGACCTTTCATGGACAGATCAGTTTGGTTTTCTCAGAACAGCTCTTAACCGTCAATAGCACTCGTTCAGCTAATGAATGCCTTCTTTTTACAGAGTTTACACACGGGATCCACAGCCTTGTGCATTTTGCCATGGCAAAATTTTCATAGGTCATGCAATTATGGTCACTCACAGTGAAACTCAAAACACTTTATGAAACTGGCTTTCAATTATTTTTAAGATTTTGTTATGAGCTGTTGATTCTGCTTTATATTAAACTACCTATCTTAAGAATATGGGGAAAGGTGAGGTTCTAATTTTTGTAGGTGAAACTAAATTGACCCCCAAAATAAATATTTTATACACAATAGAGAAATGTGTTGGGAAGTATTATTTCACCAAAATACCTTTAGTCTTTCTTTTTTCCCCCCCGCCCAGTGACTAGTCCTATTAAAATTCTTTTCTGCACCTTATTTCTCTCCCACTCTCCTTGTACGCTGGAGCTCAAAGAAGATGCTCTTCAATGTAACCATTGTTTTTTTTAATCTGTCAACGTTACTTTTACCAAATATTACCGTCTCTTTTCCGTTGTGTTTTTCAGTTTCTTTTTTTAAATCAAGTTAGTTTCGGGTTGAGTTTCTAGTCAACAGAGAAAATGTTTTAAAAGACCTTTACTCTTAAACATTAACATCTTACCTAAAATAGCAGTTTAAGACTTGCCTTCTTCTATCATCCAAAACCTTTCCTCTACTGTTATACTCTGTTCTGTGATTGTTATTCAGATTTCTACCTAATGTGGTCCATCTTTCCACTTATATAAAATGTGGGTTTGCACAATTTTTTTTTTTAAAGCACTTGAGTTTTCCAGAGTTGTGACAGGCTTAATCACTATGGTGGTTATATTATCAAAGTCAAGGCTGTAATGAATTTTTATTTTTTAGTTAAAGAATTACCCTTTTTGAACTTTTTCTAACTTCATGTGTTATTATGTATGCCAGAGCCTCACTTGTTTTTAATTTTATACTGAGAGAACTCTTGCCATTTCATAAGCAATGGTAGTGTAGTTAGCCCAACAACCTTTGTGGCAACTCATTTAAGGAATTAGATTTAAATAAATAAATTTTACCTTAGAGAACTGAATATTGGGCCCATAAATATGGAAAGTTATATTCAAGTATGTTATTTAGATAAAAATAATTGCATAAACTACTTCAATAACTATGAATAGTTATTATCTCTTAAGACTTGCTTCTTACTCAAATTTACTTTTTTCCACAGGTAGTATGTTGTAAAGACAACAGGCAACATGAAAATTTTTGCTTTGAGGAATGAAATTTTGTTTGCTTCTTTTACTTTTTAAAGGAAAAGAAACAGTCTCACAAAAATGACATTTGTTGAGTCAACTGAAAATTCGACGGCACAATTTCTGTTTTCTTTAAAGATGCATGCGTTTATTTTCAGTTAACATTAGTCATGTTGTGTCTGCAAATACCATGTCTGACAATGGCGAAGTAAATGCCAACTATTTCAAGTTACATCTAGAGGTCACTTTGGTGAAGCCTGCTGTTTATATTCAATGCAGTGAAACTGGTCTAGGGAGTCTTTTGGTGCTGAAATATAGATGCATTTTGCAGTCAGACTTTAAGTCTTCCTTAATCCTGTATACTTCTTTGTAATTTCTGTATAGCTGTTGCTATAAGTTTAAAAGCGTCCTTAGAGGCAAGATTATTGCTGTCATTTTAGGTCATTTTTATGAGATAAAAGACTTCCTCCCTTTACCAAAAATATGTTAACCAAGACATCTACAGTGGTGGCCCCAAGTGACAAGCACAAATTGTCCAGTATGGAATTCTTCTGCTTTTCCCCTCCAGGTATAGTGTAATGCTTTAGATGAAAACCAAACCAGAAAACAGAGTTTCCATTTTTATACTAAAAAATATTGTTACTCTTACAATATGGACTTCTACCAACTGCGTGCGGCAGAGTCAGCCTCCTCGTGGGGTTTGCTGTGGTCTTTTAGGGACACAGATGGCCAGCTCTTTTTCTCACAGAGCTGCCGGCTGGCTTCAAACTGCCAACCTTTTGGTTCCCAGGCAACCACTTAACCATTGCGCCACCAGAGCACCTTCAGAAAATCTTAGTCCATTTCATAATATTTCATTGTCAGTAAAACCTGTGAGAGCTGGAACCTGTGTAAGGTGGACACCTCTCAGAGAAGGAAACCTCAAGTCATTTCCTGGAGCAAGCCCAGGAAGAGGGGTGGCTGCAGACTATTAAAGGCTGCACCCATGTGGGACCTGGCACAAAGCAAGGCAATCCCATCAAGGGCTGGCTCTCCAAGGTTTCTTTGTAACACATTAAAACTGCTAATAAAATCAAACTTAATACTGAAACCTAGCACTCATTCAGGTTCACTATGTGAACTGGTCCAAGGAGATTTAAAAATCGTAATGTATTTGTACGTCTTTGATTAAGGTTAATCTCTTCATACAGAGGTTGATTTTTTCTAATCAGCAGTACCAGTCCTTTATATTTTCTCATGCAAATAGAAAAGAGCTCTTGAAAATTTCTCCAGATGAAGCTAATTAAAAAAAGATTAGTAAACTACTGTTTTGACAGCATAGATTCATTACATCTGCACTGGGGAAATATAAATGAATTGCAAGGGAATATGTTTCTTAAGTGTGGGGAAAGTATCTAATCATCTATTTATTCCCTAAATTTCACTACAAGGAAGGACTGCCTCAAATCATGAGCTCCAAAAGGAGTAGTGGAAATCCCTGCCACTGCTGGGAAAAGCTACCTAGTGGCTGCCAGGAAACAGTCACGACCGTGGGAGTAAGCAGTTTGGCCATTGACTTTACTGGTCCACAGTAAAGTCTGACCATAGACTGACCTATGATGATCGGAGTATAATTCTGACTGAACTCCGTGTGTCACTGGTATCATTGGGGGCAGTCATTGTAGAGAAGTAAATGTACTTGCTTTTTTTTTCAATTGGGAAGGATTATATTGTTCAATTTTCCTGGTAGTTACAGTTGAAAAACACTGGGTTTGTCATAGTATGAATGTATTACTATGGAGTGCAAGTATCAGTGGAATAAAAATAACAGTGATGTTTGCAGCTTGAATCAGAATGTTGCCTCTTAAGTAAGAAAAGACTGGAGATTCTATAAACTAATGGAAAGCAAAAAAAAACCTTTTTTCATTTAAAAACAAATATTGCATCCCAGGGGGGGAAAATGAAACCACTTTATTAGAAAAAAAAGCATTTTATATGATGTTTTCAATAATTTTGAAATGGGACAAAATGAGTTCCTGGGGTTATTTTAGAAACAGCAGCATCCAATAATACCTTAAATAATATATTGCCACCAATATCTCTGAATAGAGTTAGTATTTCCACATCAAGTTAAATTTGTTTTCAAATGTGTGTGCTTTTGCAAATGCGCATGTATGACAGTGAAAGACGGCACAGCTGTCACAATCATTTGACTTAGAGATTGCCCATGCCTTTTTGTATCAGATAAATTATAGATAAGCTAAGGAATGCTAGCAAGGAATATAATTTTCTTTATACTGCCTCTGCTCTCGGCCTCCTAGAAATGGTTCATTTTGCAAGAAAGGCATGAATCTCATGATTTGAGGCAGTCCTTCCCTGTACTGAAATTTAGGGAATAAATAGATGGTTAGATACTTTCCCCACACTTAAGAAACATAAGACGCTGCTACCCCGATGACACATTTCAGGGTGTCAAGAGCATTAATTTAGGGAATAGAAAGAACTTAGAGCGCATGCATGTAATCTAATTCTCCCCTTTTTTTTACACAGAGAAAACTGATGTTCGGGGAAATAAAATGATTTTCTACTTCCTTCCTATAAAATTCTATCTCTAGTTCCTTCTTTTCCTAATTATTCACATGAGGAACAACTCCAAATTTATCATTCTTGCATTTGCCAGAAAAGAATACAGAAGCAAGTTTTCATGCCTTGAAATTTCTTTGTTATTCTCTAAGTTACTAATATAAATGTACTTGTCCATTATTTTTCAAAAACTGTAAACTAATCACAAGTTCACACAGAGGCTGTCAGGAATTCTATATATTTGCTCACGTGTTGAGCTACTTTTTAGCTCATCTCATTCCTTTCCATTGACTGGAAGTCTCTTTTCCCTCGAACCCCTCTGATCGTCTGTGTGTATGGCCCTCCTGACTGCTCAATCATCCCTGCCCACCCAGGGACTCACGAACTCCTACCAGAGTACCAGAGCCCCAAATCATGGGCCCCTGTTCCCAGCTTTACTGTAGAAGGGAGAGAGAGCTACTGTAGTGGGAACCTGATTTTTCATATGAGCAAGCCTACATATTTCATTTCTTCCAAGAGGTTATGTGCGAAAAACATCTTCTTATTTACTTCGCCTTTTCTAATAGTGATTACCTTTCCCAAGATGACTTGTGTGGACAGACTTTTTAACTCTTGTGAAATGCAGATTTTCTGCAGCCATCAGAATTAAAACCACCTCTTCCAAGGACTCTTTGAATCTTAAACCTTGGACTATATCTGGTCTCCAGAAAGCCATCTGAAAGACAAACGATACTTTAGCTTAAATCGTAAAGGATGTTCGTCTTGGGCACTGTGTTATTTTAAAGAGGTATCCATGGGCAGATAGTTTTGACAACTATCCAAATGGAGGAATAAAAGTTTTGTTTTAAGGTCATTTGGTAATTATCTGAGTTATTCTTGAAGAAAATATTGTATTGAATCCTCCGTATCCACATGCTATTCACAAACAATGCTGGCCCTGTTTCTCCATATTTATACACAAGAGTGTATAATCACTAAGCTGAGCTATAAAAATCTGTAAAGAGTCTTTTTCCTTCTGGAACATCTTTTGCTCTCTTGGAAATGTTGCCTCGTGTGTTAAATATTAAATAAACTTCAATCTAGTTATATTATTGGCATGTTATTTTTATTTTAACCTTGAATATTCTAACTTAAAATCCTCATTCCTAGTAGAAAGCAAACTCTGCCATTGAGTCAATTTTAACTCAAAGCAATAAAGGGGATAGGCACTTTGCATATTAAAAATTGAAATTGTAAAATAATTATTATGTTTTGAAAGTTCTAAAATGCTGCCATCCAGAAGAATGTTTAATATTAAAATATTGTAGCTGTGGAATAATTACTGTCCTTTAAAAATGTTTAAATGCAACTTGGTGGGCTGATCCTGATGAATCATGGCTTAATGTACTTCTCAAAAGGCATTCTACTCCCATGAAAGATTTACAGTCTCAGAAACCTGAAGGAGCGGTTCTTTTCTGTCCTATAGGGTCACGATGAGTCGGAATCAAATAGATGATAAAATTACATTATTTAATTGATAAACATTTTTATCAATTAGATTGATTTTTAAAACCTTCAAATATCCTGAGGTTTTTTTTCTTCAGGATATTGAATGTAAGGCCTTGCCTCAAGGGAAGAAACTTATCACAAAGAAATTTCAAGCCAATCAGAAGGTGGGAAAAAGAGCCTGCCAGTGTTTTGCAAATCACATAGCATGATTGGGTGAGTCTTGGTCCAGAAAACAGGCCACTGTTGTTGTTAGATGACATGGAGTCCATTCCGACTCATAGTGACCCTGTGGCCATCGGAACAACCCACGGCCCAACCTCGCGCCGTCCGCACAACTGGTCCTGTGCTTGAGCACCTGCTATATTGCAGCCACGGTGTCAGCCCGTCCTGTGGGGCACCTTCCCCCTTGTCCTGCCCTCAAGCATAATGTCCTTCTCCAGGAACTGGTCGCTCCTCACAACATGTCTCATGTATTTACGATGAAGTCTCTCCATCCTGGCCTCTAAGGAGAACTGTGGCTGTGCTTCTTCCAAGACAGATGTCTGCTCTTTTGACAGACACTGGTACTGTCAATATTCTTCACCAGCACCGTTATTCAAATGCAACTGCTTCTTCATCAGTCGTACTTACTCAGTGTCCAACTTTCACACATGAACACAGTCAATGTTAACAGAATCCTGGTTAATAAGAGTCCACGGTTTTGGACTGTGCAACGAGTCCTCTTGCCAGTTCTCCCTTGCACGGTATTCTTTACAGTCATAAATCATACTTCTGCTTCTCCTTTTGATCTTCCCTTTACAGAAGCCATGTCATCAGCTGTACTCTTTGGGTGGAGTTATTGAAATACAGAAGGCTTCAGAGCCAAATATTTACCTCACCAGGATCAGTATGGTACAGGATCCTAGAATGAGCAGTAGCTGGAAGCGTCTTGTCCTTGAAAAGGATTCTCGCCGATCCCGTCCTCTCTGAAGTTGCCCATTTAGATTGTGAGATGTGGCTCAGGGTCTTCACAACTTTCCTTTCCTTCACAGCAGGCACCTGCTCAGGGCTGACAGTCACCGTGCCATCGCACACCATCCACGGCATCAGGGGCCAGGCCCTCTACCTCCCCGTGAACTACGGCTTCGACACTCTGGCTTCAGGCATTCAGATCATATGGCTGTTTGAGAGGCCCCACACAATGCCCAAGTACTTACTGGGCTCAGTGAATCAGTCTGTGGTTCCTGACCTGGAATACCAACACAAGTTCACCATGATGCCACCCAATGCATCCCTGCTCATCAATCCACTGCAATTGACTGATGAAGGCAGTTACATCGTGAAGGTCAACGTTCAGGGAAACGGAACTCTCTCAGCTAGTCAGAAGATACAAGTCACTGTTGATGGTGAGTCCACTCTAAGTATTTTTGGTCAGTGGGGAACCGTCCTGGTGAGTAAAGGCTCGGGCATCTAATGACCAGGGCTCTAGAACCTGGCTCTGCACCTTTGGCAAATTAGCTCTCAAAGGTCTGTGTCTTATCACCTTCATAGCTATCTACATCAAGGGACTTTCTGGTGGTTAAATAGAACGTTGAATATAAGGGTTGTGCCCAGTGCTCGGCAAAAGGTAATGAAGCATTAAGAATCCCTCGTTATTTGTTTGCCTGGAAATTGTCGCGCATACAGCTGCTAATAGAATGATATGGAGAAATTCTAATTTCCTCAGTAGGACGCTGGGAAGAGGCCTATGTTGATCACACGAAAACAATTCTGTAACTGGGGGACGATGAAACTCACACAAAGACTGTGTGAAGGAACAGTGGAAGTTGCAGGAAATGTACTCTGAGGGGTATTGTGGTCAACAAACTTTCCAGTAAGCATTGTCTTCATTGAAGTGCAACAGTTTTAATGTGTTATGTCCAATCCTCAACTTTAGATTTTTCCTCCTCTAACACTGTACTAGTTCCCCATTTTTATAAATATCATTTTTATAAATGATTGCTCAGGCACAAGCCTAGGAGCCATCACCGACCCCTCTTTCTCTCACACTCCACAGCTAGCTCACCAAAACAAGCACCCCTGTGTTTACAGTCAACAGACAGACCAAGTTCAACACCTCACTACCTACAGGACTGGCCTGTTCAACTCACCTGGACTGCCATTTCCCTGACAACTAGCCTCCTTCTTCCTAATCCTGCCTCCTGCTGTTTATAACCACCTAGCAGCTCACTTGTGTGCGCTCGCACGCTCTCTCTCTCTCTCGCTCTCTCTCTCTCACACACACACACACACACACACACACACACACACACAGAATCAGTCTGCTTCCTAACAAGATGAAGGCCCAGAAGGTTCCCCCCCTACAAACCCAGCATCTCTCTGAAAATTTTCTTACCTCTCTTTTCCTCACACACCTTGTTCTTCCCAGAAGACTATCAAGACACACTTCAGGAAGCCTGTGTTTGCTGCTTAATCCACCGACATTGCTTTTACCCTTGATATCAAGTAGGGTTCCTTCCCTTGTTCCTTTTAGGTCTCAATCCAAATGTCATTGTATCTGTCAAGCCTTTCCTGACCACCCTATGTGGTATATAACCCCTCTCTCCCAAACACACACACACACTATCTAGAGATCTACATTGAACTAGACATATGAGGTAGTTTTATTTGCTCTTTGTTTCACTTCCCCACCTAGAATCCAAGGCTCATGGGAACCAGGACTTTGTCTTGTTTGCTACTTCTGCACCTTTGGCTGCTTGCCCGTAGTGAGTGGGCAGTAAATATCTGTAGGAGGAATGAGTGACAGTGCGGGTGTCTGGAGAGGCTGGATGCACAGAGATGGGGAGTGTGGCAGCAGATGCCTGCCAACGACTTTAGGAAAAGAAAAGACACACTCACAGGGACTTTTGATGATGTTTTCCTGTGTGGTATCCTATCTCCCCATGAAAATTTTAATAGAACACCCATTCCTTGTCAAAGGGTAGTGGAAATGGATCTGCTTCGGATCTCAATAGGCATGTAGTGCCAGAAAGAAATCACTTCTTGGGAACCATCCACATTCGGATTACACGGTTAGAGGAAGTGTGTGATCATAATACCGGTTTCCATTCTGATGACTGGTTCTCCTCATACAAGACTGTTCACATGCTACCTATTTGGCTTATTCCATCCCACATGTCTCACACATGGGAAACAATCAGAAAATACAAGCTTTTTCTATATAATAAGCATACATGCATGCATTTTTTTCTTTTTAAATGGCAATAATGTAAACAGACACTATTCCAAGTCCTTTGTTCCGACCAAGGAAGAAAGTGGATTAAATTAAACGGAAATCACTTGGTAGCATCCTCCTTGAGCTCACTAGTAGCTCACCTACTAGTTCTCATTCATCTGGCTACTTTCTCCTCAACGTTCCTCTTCTCTGGGCTGGAAAATTGGGTCTTTCAGTGCTGTCAATGTGACCATGAGTCACCTAAGGGACATGCCCCAACCCCTATTAGAAATTTGATAAGAAATAAAAGCCTAAATTTAGAGGCCAATTGTCCATTTCTTATTATCTTATTCTTCTGTGTCCTGTAAGCATTCAGAGCAGGGGAGTATTAAATACATATATGTAGAATATATAAACAAAGTAAACCCACTGTCATCAAGTCAATTCCAACTCATGGTGACCCTATGTAGGATTTCTAGGGTTGTGATTCTTAATAAGAGCTGATAGCCTCATCTTTCTCCTTCACAGTGGCTGGTGGGTTTGAACTGCCAACCTTCTGGTTAGCAGTCCAACATTTACCCTAAACTGCCACCAAGGATATATATATATATATATATCCACGAATGCAAAGAAGAAGCATTGCCAGATCAAGCAACCTCTTCATCTTTCTTCCTCTTGTTGTGCAACTCTGGGTTTCCCTATTAAACAGAGTCAAGAGCCTTGAGGATAATGAAGGCTGCTGAAATCCAGGGTCAGAATTTGGGGAAAGAAATATTTAGTCATTCTTAATAATTTATTTAACAGATCACACTAAATGCCTACTGTGTACCAGGCTATAAAAGAAAACTATTTTCCTATGACTTGAAGATACAACAGGAATTCTGTTGGATTTTTCTTTTATTTCTCTATTTTCATATAAGCACTAATGCACATTTTATTCTATTTTTACAGATAGTTTGTTGAAGTGACAAATAGAGTGTTACAAAGTAAACATAAAAGAATTTAAAAGCATATCACTAATTCACGTACAAGAAAGGAGCAGGAAGCAGTGCATATACAATTCTTTGAAACATGACGTCAGCTCCCCAGGTAGCATAACATATGAACCTTTTCATATGGTGCAAAGGAGTTGAGGTTCTCCATTCCCCATAAACAGTTGGCTGCTGCAGGGACATTAGAACAGATCAAGGGAATAGAATAAATGTACATTAGTTGGAGAAGCACAATGAAAAGGGAGTCTGGAAGCTGCAATTCTCTACCACTAATTATATGCTCTATACAGAATTTCATTAGAAAATACTTGAATAGTAAGTTCTAGAAGTTGGCATCTACCCAAAAGCAGAGAGTTTGGTACAAATATTTTAATGACCCACACCTCTTTATTCTTCCTTTTTAATCATTACCTAAACTAATGACATTTACAAAATATAAGACTTTGGAATCATTACCCCAGACTTTCAGTATTTGAAGGAGTCTTATTATAATTCTATGGGTGCCCAAAATATTGTTGTTTCTCTTAACATTGCAGATCCTGTCACAAAACCAGTGGTGCAGACTCAGCCTTCCTCTGGGGCAGTGGAGTATGTGGAGAACATGACCCTGACATGCCTGGTGAAAGGGGGTACCCGGCTTGTTTACCAGTGGCTGAAAGATGGAAGGCCTGTCCGTACCAGCTCCACCTACTCATTTTCTCCCCAAAACAAGACCCTTCATATTACGCCAGTGACTAAAGGCGACATTGGAAATTACAGTTGCCTGGTAAAGAACCCTGTCAGTGAGTTGGAGAGTGACACCATTATGCCCACTATATATTGTAAGTTGGTTTTTGTTGGTTTGTTTATTTAACTGTTCATGAGTTTTCTTCTGGGAAGGCCTCACAGAGGTAGTTATGGAAAATATCAACACCTGCTGCCTTTTGTTTTTGATCACGATAGTTAGTAATTCATTAGTAGTTCCTATCACACTTCCTAAGCATAGGAAAATACACCCTTTTCTTTATTATTTCCTAAGCACTGTCTTGTCATGAAATATGTTGATCAGCACAACCCCATTTATTGAAGATGAAGTTCCATAATGGCCCAAAACAATCCAAGATACAGTCTGGGATTTCATCCACTGTGTGATCTCACTGTTCACAGTTCCTTTCATTATTGTATCACTTTATAGTTTTCATCAGGACACTCCATACCATCAGACCATATCTAATGTGTTGAATTAGGATTGCATTCTAATTTCAACCTAGCCTAAGTTTTCTCAACTTCTACACTAGTGAATTCTGGGCTGGACAACAATTTGTTACTGTCATGGGGTGCTGGGGGCTGACCCCTGCATCATAGCATGTTTAACAGCATATTAGCTTTGGCCTACTAGATACTTATAGTATGCTTGGGCGCATGCACGTACACACACGCACGCCAGCTTGTGACAATCAAACATCAGTCCATACATTGGCAAATGTCCTCTGGGGAGCAAAACCTCTACCCACTGAGAACCAATAGCCTGTTGTGTTGGAAAGTCTTCCACACAGAGCATAACTGCAATAGCATCTCCTCTGACCATAGACCAGGGATGTGAATAGCCCTGCTATCAGAGTGCATTGGGTCCATTAATATTTAACTTTGAACTCTCTATAGACACATTTTATATTTTTTCTCATTTGTAATATCTTCTGCTTTCTTTTCAATTGAAGTGATCTCAATTTTAATTTGTTATTGTTGTTGGGCTACTGTATTTTTATTTTGCTTTGTTTTTTTATGTTTTTCTGTATATGAAATCCAGGATAGGTAAATCGATAAAAACACTAGTTGGGTTAGTAGTTTCTTAGAGTATGGTAGGGGAGATTGGGGCAGTGACAGCAGGGAATAAGGAAAGAACACTAATCAGTACATGAAAGAAGAAAAGGTTGGGAAATGGATTGTGGTGATTGCACAACTATTTTAAATATGGTTGAACTATTGAGTTGTATGATATGTGAATTATATGTCAATAGTTTATTTTCAAGAAAAGAGAAGAAAGGTCAAGGGAAAACTCTACTGACCGCTTTGGATTGAAAATATTTATTTTAGCTAATTGAGTCAGAAGGAGAGAATTACGCCTAGTGCATTTATGCACTTACCGATCCAATATAGGAGGGGCTTTAAAAAATTCCTGAAAAGGTTCTATTATCATTTAATGCAGTTTGTCCAAATTTTTAAAGGCTCCTTGCATATGTATAATACTAGGAGAGGCATGGAAGCCTAGTATTGATGTGCTTGAGAATCAGACAGACCTAAATGGGAAGCCTGGTTTGTCATTACCATGTGACTTAAAGAAACCTCCATGTTGAGACCCATCTATATAATGGAGATCATTAAGCCCACCTCCCCCACTTGTTGTGCTCATGGAGTTGATTCCAGACTCATAATAAGCCCATATGACACAGTGGAACTGCCCCATGAAGTAAAAAGAAAAAGAAAAAAAAAACCAGCAACCATGTAAAGAACTTATACTTTCCAACTAGATAAAGCTTAAGAATAAAAGTGAGCACCAGCCATCAGGTAGGCATGGCCCACAGGAAAAGGAGCTTCTGGGAGAGGAGGGGTGTGATGGTAAGGGGCAGGTAGACATGGATGTTTTGCTTGGATCAGCCAAATTTAGTTGAGGACAAAGAACCATTGAGTCCTGGACTGGATGCTAACTTATATTTTAGTAGAAGATAGAACATACGTATAATAAGACGTATCGGGTAGCACGTCATGGGTGCCACAGGGGAGTGTACAAAGCAGCACAGTGGTTAGGACAGGAACTCTAGGGCCATAAAACCTGGATTTAAATTCTGGTTTGCTACCTTACTTCTTTGCACCTCAGTTTCTTTATCCAGAAAAGGGTGACAATGATAATGCCTACTTCCGAGAGTTATTGGGAGAATTAAATCTTTTACTCCATGTAAAATACTTGGAATACTCACTGGCCTGTGTTCCTGGTTTTTGACCAGATTGATTTCAACTCAGAGTGACCTCATAGGGGGATTGTTGGAACCTGTCAGTTACCAGGCAAGAGTTTTACCAGAACATAACCATCAATGCTCCTGACTGGCCAGTACTCTCTCACTGCCATCGCGTTGATGCCATCTCATAGTGCAGCGACCCTGTAGGACAGGGTAGAACTTTGAGGATGTAGTGTTTTGAGGATGTAGTGTTTTGAGGCTGTAGAGTTTTCAGAACTTTGAGACTGCAGAGTTTTGAGATTGTAACTCTTTACAGGACTAGAAAGCCCCGTCTTTCTCGCGAGGTGCAACTAGTGGTTACACTGCTGACCTTGCATTCAGCAGCCTGATATTTAATCACTGCACCATCAAGGCTCCTTGACTGGTCTATAGTAAATACTGTATTACTACCATATGATAGTTAGTCCATATTATCACAGTAATACTATTATCAGTCTATGTATCAAATTCAGAGGATAGAAATATTACTTCTGCCTAAGGAGCAGTTTGCTTCCAGAAAGTTACAGTTAGCTATGTATGGTTCGGAAAAGTAGCAATATCTGACAGCACGAGCCAAGGCCCAGAAATGAAAGTAGATGGCAATGGTCCAGCTAAGTCAGAATACAGGATTCAGGAAGAGGAATGGTAGGATAAATGACCAAACAAATAAAATTGAGTCAGACCATGGAGAGCTTTTCATGCTTGGTGTTAATTGGTAATCAATGAGGAAAATTTGATTTTCTAAAAATAAGAATATGAGGGGTCCCGCCCCCCAACCCATGCCAAAAAAAAAAAAGGATTTTTTTCAAAGCTACGTATTTAAATTTTTTTACAAAACAAACTTATCACCTTCAAAGTACTCTCCATTACACCTAATAAATTATCAAATCTGCTATTCCATTCTTGGAAGCATTTTTCAAACTCATCTGTTTGGTGGCTGATAGCCACTCCCTCATTTTTCTCTTCACCTCTTATACGTTGACCTTTCATGGCCCTCTTCATTAATGGAAACAAAAAGAAGTCACACAGAATGAGGATAGGTGAGTAAGATGTGTGGGGTTCGAGAGACATTCTGGTTTTTGCCAAAAACTGAAGCACTGAAATGGCTGAGCTGGTGCATTATTGTGGTGGCAAAAAGCAGTGTGCCATATGCACAAATCAGGCTTTTTTGTCGCACCCTGTTATGCAATCTTTACAAAACCTCTAAATAGAAAACTTGATAACAGTATGACCTGGTGGAACAGAGGTACTCCAAATGTACTAAAAGTTGACATTTTTATCCATTTGGAAAGTTGATGAGAATCCAGGACAAGGTTTGTCATCAAACAATATTTCATATTTTTTCGCCCTTTTTTAAAAAAAATAATTTTTCTGAGGGCATGTACAACAATTATCACAATCAATACATAAATCCATTATGTTAAGCATACTTATACATTTGTTGCAAAATTTTTTAATTTATTTATTTATTTACTTTTAAATGTTTTATTAGGGGCTCATACAACTCTTATCACAATCCATAATACATCAATTATGTAAAGAATATTTGTACATTCATTGCCCTCATCATTCTCAAAACATTTGCTCTCCACTTAAGCCCCTGGCATCAGCTCCTCATTC